CAACTAGGACATATTTAAACTTTAGTCTACTATTATTAAACACAGTCCTTGAAATCTATACAACAGGCTTGTTTATCAGGAAAACTGCTTTCTAAACCAACACCCATTTTCAGCAACCAAATCCCTTCAGTGAGGTCAAAATAGCCTCATAAGGTGACACCCTTCCTGGGTAACCCGTGGACCATCCACATTCCCCACACGTGGGCTGACCAGGTCCCAGGACACCAAGCCGTGGCCCCCAAGTCCAGAATTCACCTACACAGCTCAAGAGAGCTAACATTGCTTCGTAGCCCTGGTTTTGAAAAATAACCTCGAATATTGGCACCATGTGGTCTCTACTGTCCCAAGGATGAGTGTGTGTGTGTTATTTACACACAGAAGACAACTGGACTGAAGTCACTTTAATGATCCCACACATATTTCCTAACAACTTGGTTTATTGTTGCTATTCTCCTGGGACCAAAGCTTGGATAAAGTGGAGGAAAAGAGGCATATTCCTCTAATGATCAAAACAGAAGGAGTTTGGGGACGAGACAAGACTGGCCGTGTGGAGGCTGGAGGATGGGCACATGGAGTGCATTATAGGACTCTATCTACTTCTCAGTGTGTGAGGTTTTCCGTTACAGCAAAAGGGGGCATGAGGTCAAGAAGCACTGCTGTGTAGCCTTTCTACGTTTTCAGGTCACAGTTCTCAGCAAAAACACACCCATTTTCCCACTTACTGATTCATTTGGACCACAGTGTTGGCTACGTCTTAGAAATCCCTCCCTTTTCAGTCTGGATTCATCTTTTCTCCTCTAGAACCACCTTCTATAAAGGTTATTTCAGTTCCATTCAACACATATTTATTGAGATCCACTATGTGCCAGGAGCTGTGCTAAGAATTTGAGGTGTATCGGCGAAGAAAACAAAAATCCATTCCTGCACAAAGCTTTTGTTCAAGTGGGATGAAATATAAACAATAAACGAAATAGATGTATTATAATAAAGAGATATTATATACTTTGTTAGAAATTGATATGTGTAATGGAAAAAACATAACAAGGTGAGGGGGCACAGGGTGGGGCGAGTTGCAATCTCATGTAGGGTGGTCAGGGTAGACCTCATTAAGAAGGCAATATCTGATCAAAGACTTGAAGGAGGCCAAGGAGTGGGCTGTGAGAGTATCTGAGGAAAGGGCCATCCTGGCAGAGGGAATAGCCTGTGCAAAGGCCCTGAGGTGGGTGAAGCACGCCTGGGATGTCCCAGGAAGAGCAAGGAGGCGGGCGAGGCTGGAAGAGTATCGCTGTTGAGGGAAGCCGGAGTGAAGGAGGGGAGCGTGTGAAGGGATGAGAATTAGGGAGTAAAAGACGCAGATAATGATATTAAAGATGTGGCTTTTATTCAGAGATGGGAAGCCACTGGAGGGCTCTGAGCAGAGAAGTGAGATGCTTTCATCTGTATTTTCAAAGGAGAACTCTGGATGCTGCGTAGGGAACAGACGAAAGGGATGCAATGATGGAAGCCGAGAGACCAGGTAGAAAGCTACCGCAGGAACATAGGCGAGAGGTGACAGTGGCTTGAACAAGCTGGCAGCGGCGGAGGTGATCGGCTTGCAGACAGAACTTGAAGGTAGAGCCACCAGTCTCTCCCGAGGCACCGACTGAGAGAGAGGAGTCAGGACGGCTCCGAGCTGTTTGGCTTGAGCTGCAGGACAGACATGGTGGCCATGACCTGAGGTAGTGAAGGCTGCGGGTGGAGTGGATTAGGAGTGGGGGGAGGGGTTCATCACAAGTTCAAGTTTGGATCCGCTCACTATGCGACGTCAAGGAGGCAGTAGAATATACGAGACCGAAGAGCAAGAGAGTGCTCTGGGCTGGAGCTAAATGGGGGCATCATCAACATGACGGGGGATATTTAACACCATGAGGCCGGATGAGACCACCAGAGCACTAAGTAAAACCAGGAAGAGAGGGGCCGAGGCTGAGCCCTGGGCACCCTAGCAGAAGTCAGAGCGAAGACACGGGACAAGCAAAGGAGACGGAAAACGAGGGCCCAGCAGGAGGAGGAGAACCAGGAGCGCCAAGCATCCTGCAAGCCAGTGACGAGAGCTCGGCCGGGGAGCGGGCAGGACCAGCTGTGCGGTCGGGCAAGGTGAGGACTGAGAACTGACCACAGACCCAGCAACTCGGGTCATGACCTGGGTAAGAACCATCGGTGGAGGGGGGCACCAAACTCTGATTAGAGGGGATTTCAGAAAGAATAAGAAGAGAGGAATTTAAGGTGACAAATATATATAAAACTCCACTGTGGGGTTGAATTGCAGAGGGAACAGAAACGGGGAGACAGCTGGAGGGAAAGCGGATGTCAAGGGAAGGCTGTTGATGGTTTTTGAAGATGGGAAATGACAGCAAACTTGTGTGGCTGATGGGGCGATTGGCAGAGAGGGGGAAATGGACGGCGAGGGTGTGAGTGAGGCCCCGTGCAGAAGTCTTGCTCTGGAGGAGGTAAGAAGAGCTGGGAATCAAGTCCAGAAGTGGAGGGGCTGAGGCCAGAAGAGCCCCCGTGTTTCCTTTCTACAGTCCCAGTGGAAGGCAGGAGACTAGGGTTCAGAAGCTGGAGGGTGGGCATGTGTGGTAGTGGGAGGCTGAGGAAGTAAGTGCTCAGAAACGCAGCCTGAGCAGCCGATGCAATCAGCTTCTGCATCCCTCTGAACACTGAAAGAGGGGCAGCTGACAGCCTGGGAGGTGGCAGGGCTGAGTGTCACCAACAGGTACGGTGGCCCCGATAGCTTGGGGCCACATCCTATTTCTGCTACTTTTCAGTGGTGTCACCTCGAGCTAGCTGTTCACCCTCCCTCGCTGCCTCCGTTTCCTCATCTGTAAAGCACAGGTAATGCTAGTAACCTGCCCCATAGAGTTGTGAGCATTTAAGGTGATAATCAAGCCCTTATCTCCATACCTGGCAAATAGCATTTGCTATCAAAATCATTCCTCTCTGGATGCCTGTGAGTAAAGTCACTGTCCCACTAGCCTGGCTCCTCTCCAGTCCCATTTTGAAACTAACGTTGGATGTTATTGGAAAGGCATCACTTTCCTCCTAATTCACGCTTTCCCCAAGGTTCTTATACCTACAGGCAAGACGGCATAACGGAACACAACCTGAGCCAGACCCTGCTTTCCACGACAAACAAGCTGGGGTTCGGGGCAAGTCTCTGGGTCTCTTTGAGCTTAATTTTCATCCTACCTAAAGGCAGGACTGAATGAGCTCTAAGGTCCCTTCAAGTTCTATAGTCATAAAATAATTTTTCCCAAGAGAAAAAAAAGTTTTCATTACATAAAAAGAGTGGGGAAAAAGTGTTTTGCAGGAAACCCTTTAAGAGCAGCAGAGGCTACAGGCGGAGCCATGCCTGTGTCACGGGCCCCTGTGGATGAGGGCTGCAGCTGATGCTGAAAAGGCCAGTTCCTGAGTCAGCCACACCTCACCACCCCAGCCCGGTGGCCACAGAGATACTCACACCAGACAAGGTGGACATCTAAGCACAGACCCAGCCCTACCGCCAGACAAACTCCTTCACCTCAAAACCCACCATTATCCTCAGAATCAGGGGCGGCCCATCCTACGGGACAGAGGGACATGACTCGGGCAAAATCTGGGCTTCAGAAACCAAGCTCAGTCCTCGATTTTCCCACCTGAGAAGGAGGCTTTTCTGAACACGATCCAGCACGTTCAGAGCGGCCAGGATAAGGAAACACGTCAGCGAAGCAGCAGCTCGATCCAGATACAAGAAATGCTATGCAAAACAGGATGCCAGACCTCACTTTGCAATTTAACATTGCCATGACCATCTGCAGCAAATATCTCTTCCTGAGTTCAGGTAAGAGCTTAGTCCAACATTTATAAATCACGCAGCCAAGTGAGGCCTTTGCTTTCAGTGCTGGTCAAGTCAAGTCTGGTAAAGTAAAGAATAAGAACCGATCATTTCTATGATCAGGAGCAAGATGACTTTGCATGTCAGGCAACAGTGGCTGAATGGGCAAAGACCCTTGCAAGGAAGGGCCTCACTCCCACACAGCCCTGCAGAACAGGCTCGTACAAACCTCCAGGGAGAAGAAAACTTAAGGTTAAACTCCACACCACAAAACTCAGTTGTTCCTTGGCCTTCTGAGAAGTTCAAAAAAGATGAGTTTGGGTCAGGCTTGGGAGGTGGACACCAGAAGACCACCCCCCACCCCGACCAGGGCTCACTTCAGCCCTCAGTGTCAGAGGGGGTCCTTGAGAATGTCTTGACTTAAATTCACCTGAATTCACAGAATCCTTCACAGACCGAGCCTTGTGCCCAACTGCCCTTCAATTTGAACTTGGAGACCTAAAGTGCAGACCAAGGGCATCTGCAGACGAGCCACAGACAGCTCGGAGGAGATGCCACGCTCTTGGGGAGGTCAGTGTGGCCAAGACGTCCGTACAACCGGCCAGGCTTTCCAGTGATTTCTGAGCCAAATCTATAAAAATTGATTTCTGTCTGGAGCTGGCGTTTCTCAGGGGCTGAGCTACAGGGGTATCTTCTGGGAGATGCTTTGCGATGAGTTGAGTGCCAAGCCAGTAACAGGGACGCAGTGTCCAGCCAGATCCATCCCAGGGAATGAAGACAGCTGGGGGCACATTTATTCACCCCAGTGTTAGCACTGAAAAGCCCATGGATTGGAAGTTGAGGAGGAGGGGACTCTGCAAAGGGACTGAAGGATGCCAGAAGCAAGGATTCCCTCTGAGCCTTCCTCACCACAATTCTCTCCCAGGAGAGGCAGCACAGAGGGGTGGACCAAGTCAGGGGCTGCCGACTGGATTCTGAAAACGCTCAATTTTCATCCCTGCTCCAACGTCTGAGGGCTGTGAGCCTTGGGACGAGTTCCTGCATCTCTCTAAGCTGCGTTTCTTCCTGCGTAAAATGGGGATGATCACACCCACCACTTCAGAGGATACTAACCCCTGAAATAAGAAAATGATGGTGTACGTCAAGGACTCAGTGCCACAGTGGACTCAAGAGACAGTATCTATTATTGCTCGGGCATCAAGTGGGAATTAATCAGCACTTTCATGGCAGCTTCCGTTCTAGTTTAGATTTGGAGTGCCACAGGATATCATCCTCAAACTCCTGCCTCTTCCTTCCTCGCTCCCTCCCTCCCCGCTGAAGATCCTCAGCGATGCCACCTGAAGATCTTTCAAAAACTACCACTGTGGGTCGTCTGGAGTGTGTCCAGATGTGCTGCTGGGGTCCCCTCAGACAGCTGGACACTCTTCCTCCAGGGAACTTTCCACAGCATGCCAATAGATCAGCATATCCTGAGGCTTGATAAAATGGCAGGCCACGATCTTCTTAAAACGGCACGTGGAAAAGCGTAACCCACCTGGGAAAAAGGTCTGCTCAGAGTGAAGTTCTTCCAGTCTGATCTTCAGTTTTGCGAGGCAGAGCCCCACAAAGACATCTTCCAGTTTAAGGAACGGGACGCTGTCGGAAACATTATACACCTGACTGGCAACGTCGCCAGAAAAGACATAGCCAGTGCCAGAGCAAAAGGGCGGATACTTGTCCCACGGATACTCGTATTTACTGACAAACCACTTACTGTACTTTTGCCTAATCGGAGAGTCATTCCTTTTTAAGAAGCCAGTGAAAAACCGACTTGTTTTGTTTTTCTTCAGAAGTAGTTCAGTCAAATAGTAGACGTTGACAAACATGTCGGAGTCTGTTTTCATCACGAAAGCCGCCTGAGGACAGAAGTGGTAGACCCACTCTAAACCCATCAGGGTCTTCAGAGTCAAATTGAAATAAACGTCCAGAAAGTCCTTCTGGATAATATCTCTGTGTTGCTGGCTCTCCTGGGCCACGGCTCTCGATACGTCCTTACTGGGGGTGGTTCCCAGGAGGAACAATGTTTTTATTCGTTTTCCTCTCACAATCTTTTCTTGTCCCCAGGTGTGCCGGATGGCCATGCGAGCCACCGTCTGTTCCTGGGACGAAGTCACCAGCAGGACAAGGAAGGGGGGATTCTGCCCGCAGTCTATATCTGGGAGCTGAAGGAAGTTCCCATGGTTTTTCTTGAAAACAAATGGCCCTTCTTTAAAAGGAGTCAGATTGTACGTGCTAAAATACAAACACAGGGCTCCCAGAATGACCAGCGAAATACACAGCAATCTCACCTTCATGTAAGCCATCTGAAAGGAACAAAATCAGATGTTTAGATCTCAAAAGCAAGAGGGCATGTTTAGCTTTACCTTGGGAGGCTGAGATGGGGGAAGTGACCCATGTTTCAGAAACTCTGGAATCTCACTGCACACAGAAGGAGTGCTGTGGTTCAACAGGGAGGCAGAGACGACTGCCAGCATCATTCACTCCACGGTGTAAGATCAGGACCATGGAAAACAGGGCACTGGTCCTGGCTCCGAAGCTAGCCAGCCCTTCATCGGGGGAAGTCTCAGATTCCTCATCTAGAAGGACACGGGACCCCATCTCTCACTAGCGAGGTCCTTCCAGCACTGCCCTTCTCTGACTCCATAATGAAGTCCAGCTTGAGAATCTGCAAGACTGGAAACCACACATTCTAGATCTAAAGGTATGGATCATTTGTGCTCTCTGATCGCATTAAGCACCAGTTTATCCCTCCCAGAAAGAAGCCAGACCAGCTGTCTGATCTGCACAACTACCTTGGAATTCTGTCCTTGCTAGTGGTGGTGGTGGTTGTTATTTTTTTTTAGGTTACTTTTGTAAGTCTCCAAATTTATTCTTTCATCTTTTGCCCACCCATCTCCGTCATCCTCAACGAATCCAGCATCATCCATGGTTATGTTACAGTACTAAGAAAGCGAAGAACTCACTTTTTCCTGCGTAAGGTGAGCTTCTGGTTTGAAAGCTAAGCCACAGGGTAGATTCCAAGAGGAAATTTGTTCCAAAGAGCTGTCAGCATATGATGTTCAGCACTATCATGTTCCGGGTTTGCTCTATTTACCAAAAATGATGGTTCACTTCCTCGAGAATCACTATAAAGAAAAACCAGAAAGAATAGTGTCATTCAAGTCACTCACGCCTTACCGGCAGCTCTTCAACATTTGTTGCGCCCAAGTGTTTGCTGTGGTGACTCTTCAGCACCTACCGACGTGACCTTGAGGGAGTATTTGAGCCCCACCCCCAGCCTCACTTTTGTCATCCGTAAAATGAGTACAATCTAGACAAACCAATTCCACCACATGCTTCAGCTGTCGACAAAAATAAGAGCATACAAATGTCTGACAATCCTTTCAGGCCCACCCAGAGCTTTTTAAGGAGACATGGTGACTCATAAGTCAGTTGCAGTCCAATTTCTCTTGCCATTTTTTTTTTTTTTTTTTTTGCTGAGGAAGGTTCACCCTAAGCTAACATCTGTTGCCAATCTTCCTCATTTTGCTTCAGAAAGATTCACCCTGAGCTAACATCTGTGGCAATCTTCCTCTATTTTGTATGTGGGTCACCGCACAGCGTGGCTGCCAACAAGTGTTGCAGGTCTGCACCTGGGAACCAAACCTGGGCCACCGAAGCAGAGCGGACTGAACTTAACCACAAGGCCATGGGGCCAGGCCCTCTCATGTCAATAATTTACCATCTCTACATAACAGAATCTGCGGCTGATGCTTAAAGAATTTAACACAGGGAAGAACTCCATCAATTCTCAACTCGATGTCCATGTCTTCAAAATGTCATCCTGGGTGAGAGGACAGAGGAGCCAGCAAGAAAAGAAACTGACTGAGTGACATGAACAAAGGTTGGTTATTTTGAGGGCGAAAGAGGACCTCAAAATTTCATTATGTTAAAATTCTTTTCCAAATATATTCACTATAAAAGAAAGGGAACAATGGGGCTGGCCTGGTGGCGTAGTGGTTAAGTTCACGTGCTCCACTTTGGCGGCCTGGGGTTCATGGGTTCAGATCCCCAGTGCAGACCTACACATCGCTCTTCAAGCCATGCTGTGGTGGCATCACATATAAAGTAGAGGAAGATTGGCATGGATGTTAACTGAGGGACAATCTTCCTCAGCAAAAAGAGGAAGACTGGCAACAGACGTTAGCTCAGGGCCAATCTTCCTCACCAAAGAAAAAGAAAGGGAACAATGATGGAGCTTTCCAGAACTAGCAAACCCTCCAGAGGCCAACTCAGTCCAGCTCCTGTTCTTCTCAGCCCCATTCTTCTCAGGCTCCCGTCCAGCTGGAATCCCACCAACTTCAGAGAAGTCGCTTCAGGAGGCAAACAGACAGAGAGAATATATCTGACCCGGTGCCGGAAGAGGCTGAGAATTCTATTTCCTTCTTTCCTTCTCTGTGAGGTTATTTATTTGCATGGCCAGGACGTATAGTTTATTTTGGAGGAGGAGGGGTAAGGGGAACTGAATTGCATTTTCTCCCATGATGCATTTTAGAAAGAAACATAAAACCCGAACGCAAGAGAAAGATGACATTCCTCTATTTTGCTTCCTTTCTCGGATAAGTTTGCTCCTCTTCGGGGACTTGCCTCAATGGTAAACCTTCAGCTCTCATTCCCCCAGTGTGCTTTTTCTCAGGATCCTTCACACAGACCTCCAGCCCCAGGATGGACACTCTGCTCACTCACTGCATTGGTCTCTCACTGGACTCCAAATGGCTCCCAGGAGGCACAGCAAGTGGCATGGCTCTACCAGCCAAAGCTCCCTGGGGTCATTTGTTTTCATGTGCATTTGGAACACACTTCCTGACTACGGCAAAGTGACCAAGAAACAAACTCTCCAGAAGTCACACCTCCTCACAATCCCCAATTACAAAGCGTTTGCATCTTTGACTGAGTCTATATCATGTGCTATAAGGACCCGGGATCCAACCTTCAGTGGAAGGCTCTTAGCATCAACAGGGAACAGAGCCTGGAACAGCATGTTTCTAGAAAGGGAAGTGTGTATCCCCCGGCATTCTGGCCCTCACAGGCCGGCTGGGAGGCAAGAGCCCTTAGCATAAAGCAGCTCCACCTTACCTGGGACAGAGCAAGAACGGGCACTCTCTCTGCTACGGAAGCCCCACCTTCCAAACACACCTGGACCAGGCTGTGTGGCCCGGCCAGCCAGTCAGTGATGGAACAGCAGTTTATTTAGCAGATTCTACACCCCAGGCTTTGCTCTTTTAACCTATGAGCAATACAGACACAGATCCAGAGCCTCAGAACTGAAGCAGATAAGTATTGCACATGAATTATAGATCAAGGCTAGCCCAAAGGTGGCAGGCCCCGCCCTCCCTTCTCCACTGTCTCCTGCCCTCCGTGGGCTCCTCTGCAGGTATCACGGCTGCTGGCTTCAGCTCAAGCTGAGGTCACTGTGCCCCTTCTTGGCCAGAGTGCCCAGAAGGCCAGGGGCATGCTTCTCCTAGGACCTCCCTCCTAAGACCCCTAACCTATGCTATGCATAGCTTAGACGCTGGGCACGTTTGGACTACAGGGGAACAAGTAAGCAATAGCACAGAGTGAGAGGATGATTCAGGGCAGGGAAAGGCTGTCTGGGGGAACCTAGAAGTCAGTGTCCTAACCACCTTCCAGTCATATGGAGAGTCCCTCCCCAGGCCAGGGGCCAGGACCCCTGACCTAAGGCTACAGGGCCTGGAGACAAAGGGATCAGAAGTCCACATCCCCAAGGGCTGGAAAGCCAAAGGGATGGTCTGGAAAGTTAAGTTCAAGGAGGCTGGTGGGGAGACCCTACTGGACCTGAAAGGAAAGCTCTGGGGTGGACAGCAATGGTCAAGTCCCGCTCTAAGGCCAGAAGGAGCACCCGGGGCCAAAGCACACAACCAATCACATCCCCAGGGGCCCGTTGCGAGTGCGCCAAGTCAGCTGAGGGGAGAGAGGGGATGTGGAGGATGTGGTATGGTATTTGAGCTTGTCCTTGAAGGGTGGGTGTGATGTGACAGGTGGGACTGGGGGAGGGAATGTTGGGCCACAGGAACTCAGGGAGTGGGTGAGCAGTCCAGAGAGCTGGGAGCTACCTTCAGTACACTCGCTCCAGAGCCGTGGTCACATATCTTGGAAGACTGGCCATCCCACAGGCCGTGGAGACCAGAACGGCATCCCAGGGAATGCAGAGCAGATGACATTGGGGGTCTCTGACCTGAACAACCCAGAAGTTCTCAAACTCAGGGGGTATAACAGTCACCTGGGAGGCTGGGTAAACATGCAGGTTCAAAGGTTCTGCCTGACAAAGATCCTGATAAAGCAAGTCTGGAGCCCAGGAATCTGCATTTTTACATGTCCCAGATGATTCTACTGTAGGCCCCTTTGAAAACACCAGTGAGCACCACTTGTACAGAGTTGGCCAAATGTGGGCACCACATCACAAACTAGTGAGGCCAAAGACCCCAGATCACAGGGCCCATCTTGATTTTTAAGTGGACTAGTTGTAGAGCTGAAAATATCCTCTCCCCTGGGGGAGGGGAGGAGAGCAAGAGGGGGCTGGATGAGGGTGACGGGGAGTGAATTCCTGGGTCACATGTGGCCTGGAGCCAGAGATGAGCCATGCCTCCCCACAGCCCTCCCCACACCTACACCATCTGGCCCAGGGTCTGGAGGCTAGGCCTGGGTCTTCTCAAGGAAAGATGTTTTACGAGGTGGCTATTCCCTGAGACTATAGAAGCTCTGGTTCAGGACCACTCACCTCCATTGTTTTCCTTTTGTCTCCCCCGCCAAAAGTGTATAAACTTCAGACACCGTGAAACCTGGCTCTCCTCTTGGGCTCCGGTAGAGGGGAGGGTGTCCCCAAGAGTGAGCAGAAGCTGAGCAACCCCAGGTGCCCTCAAGTAACCGAAGAGCTGCAGTATGGAGGGAGGTTCCCCCAACTGCCCCAGGCCCACATTGGGCCAGCACCCGTCACCTCCTACCTGGTGTCCAGCACCCCGCCCACTGGAGGAGCTGAGCATGAGCCTCAGAAGCAGAGAGAACAGCGCAGCTCTTGTAATGTGATGGCTAATTCTATGTGTCAACATGACTAGGCCACACAGTACCCAGATATTTGGTCAAACAGTATCCTGGGTGTGTCTGTGAGGGTGTTTTGAATGAGATGAAAATTTGAATCAGTAGACTAATTAAAGCAGACTGCCCTCTCTAATGTGGGTGGGCCTCAACCAATCAGTTAAAAGCCTGAATAGAACTAAAAGCCTGACCCTTCTCCCAGGTAAGGGGG